ATAAAATAGAATAAGAATAGAATACAGAATAGAATAGAATATAGAATAGAATATAGAATTAGAATAGAAATAAAATAGAATACAGAATAGAATAGACTATAGAATAGAGTAGAATACAGAGTAGAATAGAATAGAATAGAATAGAATAGAATAGAATAGAATAGAATAGAATAGAATAGAATAGAAAAATTCTTTATTGGCCAAGTGTGGTTCAACATACAAGGAATTAGTCTCCATCTCTTTTCCATCTCTTCCCAAAATCTCTCTGTATTTTCTCTCTTTGCACTTGAGGCTTTTGGCTGATCCTGAAATGCATATCCATTTGCAGGAACTTAGTAGCTCTCTGGCATTTTTTCCGCCTCCTACGCGGGTCCCAAAGCAAAACCCAGCAATCATCTGCAGCGAGTATTGGAAGACAAAACTAGGGGTTGATGGTAAGAATAAAACCGCTGCCTACATAAGTCCTTTGCTCACTTATGAAATCACAAGATTCAGTAGCACAATTCCTAGAGAATAAAAAAACCAGCGGGCAGCCTTGCTTTTAATCATTTAAATGAGTCTCTTTTAAAGTGTTTGATTTAAAGCTTAATTACTGTAATTTAAATGCTAATCCACTCCTTTACATACATAAACTTTCTGGATTTCTGCCTGGAACCAAAAAAGCATCCAAAGTTCCTTGGACCCTGACTTAACTGCAGTGATTCATTTAACAACTATGGGAAGAAAGATTGTAAAATGGGGCTAACAGAACTCACAGAGTTGGAAGGGACTTTGCAGGTCATCTAGTCCAACCCCCCGCCCAAGCAGGAGACCCTACACCATTTCTGACAAATGGCCGTCCAGTCTCTTCTCGAAAGCCTCCGGTGATGAAGCTCCCACAACTTCCGAAGACAAAAGCCGTTCCATTGGTTGGTTGTTCTCACTGTCAGAAAGTTTCTCTTTATTTCCAGGTTGAATCCTTGTTCAGTTTTCATCCATTATTATTGGGCAAAACTCACATCACTGTCTTTGCTTAGCAACAGAAATTTTGGCCTCAACAACTGGGGTCGTAAGTCGAGAACTATGTATATTCCAGGGGAGATTGGACTGCCGTTTGTCGGGGATGGTGTAGGGCATGGATGCCGCACCTTTTCGGCACCGAGAGCCAAAAAGGGAGCATATGTATGCATGCACTTGTTGGGGATGAAACCTGGAAGAGGAAGTGCCCGGGGGGCTTGCCGCACGCTAGGAAATAAATTTCAGGCTTCCAGTGCGCGCCCTTCTGATTTCCGATGTGCATGCGTACATGACGAACACATGGCCGGGGCGCGTGTGCATGGCAGAAAATAGAAGACCAGCTCTTCGGTATTCCGGCACTGTGGCACACGCGAAGGCCTTCTGATTGTCGCACGCGCCAGAAACCCAGAAGCAATGGACGAAGCCTCGTGTACCAGGCGACATAGCTCTGCCAGCCACTTTGGGCATGCATGCCGTAGGTTCACCATCACAGGCAGGGGTGGGATTCAAAATTGTTAACAACTGGTTCTGTGGGCGTGGCTTAGTTGGTGGGTGTGGCTTGGTGGTCATGTGACTGGGTGGGCGTGGCTTGGTGGTCGTGTTATTGGCTGGGTGTGGCCAACTTAATATCACTCACATTGAGGCACGCATCTCCTCGTCTGGCCTCTCATGACTGTGGGGATGCTGCAACAGTCGTAAGTGTGAAAAATGGTCATAAGTCACTTTTTTCAGTGCTATTGTAACTTTGAATGGTCACTCCACACAAGCAAAGGACCAGCAAAGGAGGGGGAAAAAACTCCAGAGAAGTTCCAGAGACAGGAAGTCTAGTCCTGCCAAGAATGCAATAAGGGTTAACGGAGAGGCAGTTTCTGTAAGCAACACCAGAATGTTTCCTTCCTGCCTTTCTTACAGGATTAGGCCAGTAATTTCTTCTAACAACCGGTTCTCCAAACTGCTTAGAATGTTAACAACCGGTTCTGGCGAATAGGTTCGAACTGGTAGAATCCCACCCCTGATCATGGGCATAGATGGTCTCCTGCTTGGGCAGGGGGTTGGACTAGATGACTACAAGGTCCCTTCCCCTTCTGTTCATCTATGTTATGATTCCAGCCTAAAACCCAGACCCTACCAGTAGTGGTGGGTTTCCCAAAAAATTTCTACCGTTTCTGAAAGCGCACATACGCACAGGGCCCAAAAATCGTCCTCTGTGTCAATGCTGGTCAGCTGAGCTCTGCCACTTGAATCAGCTGAGCTAAAATACAAGGGAATATAGGAGAGGTAACAGTGGGGGCGGGTGGACGGGGCCAAATAGAGGCGGTATTTGCCGGTGCTCCGAACTACTTAAAATTTCCGCTAGTGGTACACCTGAACCAGTCCAAACCGGCTGAATACCATCTCTGCCTACCAGGTAGCAGGAGAGATTTACCTTTGTTGCCACCTATCCACCATCAAAGGTACTGCAGCCCTCCCACCTCCCCAAGCTTCAAGCTTCTAGACCTCGTGACATTTTGTTTTTCTTCACAGAAGCTATTACTTTGCACACCCCAACAATGGAAGACGCACAGCCCTTGCACAAGAGATTTAATGGAGGGCTTTCTGTCTCTCGCTGCACATACAATTAGTCCTCAACGACTGTTGAATGTCCAAAATCACGACAGCACTTTAAAAAGTGACTTAACAACCAGTCCTCGCACTTACAAC